ATTTATCTAACCTATATTTGAAACTACACAACGCTTTAGCCTGAATAACTGTACTCGGGAGTTTGTTCCACTCATCCACAACTCCATTACCAAATCAGTGCTTTCCTATATCCTTCCTGAATCTGAATTTTTCCAACTTGAAACCATTGCTGAGAGTCCTGTCTTGGCTGGAAATTTTCAGCACGCTATTTACATCCCCTTTATTTATTCTTGTTTTCCATTTATACACTTCGATCATATCCCCCCTAATTCTACGCCTTTCGAGAGAGTGCAGATTCAGGGCCCTCAGTCTATCCTCATGGGAAGATTTCTGATACAAAGGGATCATCTTTGTCATCCTCCTCTGTACGTTTTCCAGAGCATTAATATCCATTTTGTAATACGGTGACCAGAACTGAGCAGCATAATCTAAATGAGGCCTAACCAATGATATATAGAGTTGAAGAACAACCTGAGGACTTTTTATTTTTACTTCTAGATATGAAGCCAAGAATTCTGTTAGCTTTATTACGAACACTAATGCACTGTTGTCTTGGTTTTAGATTACTGCTAACCAGAACTCCTAAATCCTTTTCGCAATCAGTAGTATTAAGATCTACATTATTTAGTTTATATGTGGCTGGTTATTTACTGTCCAACATTTAGAACTTTGCATTTGTCAATTTAAACTGCATCTGCCCCTTCTCCGACCATTGCATCAGTCTATTCAAATCATCTGGAGTGCTTAATGTCCTCATTAGAATGAATTGGACGGCCTATTTTGGTGTCATCAGCAAATTTACTTTTTGTTTGCTATTTTTTCCTAATCTATGTCGTTTATGTAAATGGGGAACAACAACGGGCCTAACACTGACCCCTGAGGAACACCGCTTGTGACGTGCCCCCATTCTGATTTCTCCCCATTTATGCAAACTCTCTGCTGCCTATTTATCAGCCATGCCTCTACCCAGGAAAAAATTTCTCCTCCTATTCCGTGTGCCTTAAGTTTCCTCAATAGCTTCTGATGTGGAACTCTATCGAAAGCCTTACTGAAGTCCACATACACTATCATATTCATTACCATGATCTACCTCCTCAAACACCTTAGTGAAAAAAGTTAGTAAATTCGTAAGACAGGAACGCCCCTTTGTAAAACCGTGTTGATATTCATTAATCAATCTGTGCCTATCAAGATGACTACGAATTCCTTCGGCAATTATTGATTCCATAAATTTTCCCACTATGAAGGTAAGGCTTATTGGTCTATAGTTCGAAGCCAAATACCTGTCACCTGCCTTGTAAATAGGTATTACATTTGCCATTTTCCACTTATTAGGCACTATGCCTGATAAGTGGTATGCTTAGTTCCTCTTTACATTCCTTTAACACCCTTGTAAACAGTTTATCAGAACCTGGGGATTTGTAGGAAGTAGGTACTGAGAATTTCACACATATCATTATTACTGTCAGTGATCTGACCAGAGTTACTCTTAAGTGGGCCAATCTTGTCCCTAATCTTACTTCTGTATACCCGAAAGAACTCTTTTGGGTTAGTCTTTGAATCCCTTGCCGCCTTAGCCTCATAATCCCTTTTTTATTTTCTTATTCCTTTCTTTATTTCTCTCTTTAATTGAATATATTGATTTCTTAACTGCCCATCCCCTCTTTTGATACGCCTATATATGCTCTCTTTTTGACCAATGAGATGTTTTAATCTATTGTTCATCCATTTGGGATCATTTTTGTTAGATCTAATTTCCCTTTCTCGGAACAAAAGTTGTCTGGGCAGCTAGAACTATGCTCTGAAAAAGTCATATTGGCAACCAAGATCACCTACCTGGCCCATAGACAGGACATCCCAATTTAGCCCACACAGGTAATTTTTCAGTCCCATTAAGTCGGCCAAGTGAAAATCTGGGACAGAGATTTGATTGCAGTTATCTGGGTAATTCCATGATTTTTTGAAACTAAGTGATTTGTTATCACTTTCTCCAAGCTCATCATTAACCTCAAGATTATTAATTAGTGAATCTTTGTTGGCAAGAACCAAGCCAAGCAGATTGTTTCCTCTATTTGGTTCTGTCACAACCTGTTCTAAAAAGCAATCCTGAACCGTATCTAGAAAGTCACTAGACTCAAGATTTCCTGTCATATTGTTCCAATCAATTTGTCTAAAGTTAAAATCTCCCATTATAACATTATTTTCATAGCTAGATGCCTTTTGAATTTCGTCCCATAACAGCTTACTGCACTCCCTATCAAGGTTTGGGGGCCTATAAATCACACCCAAAATTAATTTTGTCACATCCCTCGAGAAACTGTAGCCAAACAGATTTTGTTCCATGTTTCTAATTATATATCATGTCTAAGACAATTTAAATTTTCTCTGACATACATCGCCACTCCACCACCCTTCCTGTTGACCCTATCAGTGTGGAATAGTTTATAACCCTGTATGTTGCATTCAGAAGGCATTTCTCTATCTTTCAGGTTGATCCAGGTCTCTGTTATACCAATAATATCTATATTACCTACACTTGCAAGTAATCTTAGCTCATCTATCTTACTTCTTAGACTCCTACTATTTGTATAGTAAACGTTACGGGAGCTAGTCACTCGTTGCCTTCTACTATCTCTCTTTGTTTGTTGATCAATGGATTTGCCTTTACTAGCAACTTTATTTTGAATATTGTCTTTTAAACATATCCCTGAGGTATCCCGGTAATATCTTTCTGTTTTTTAAACCCTAAAACTGCAGCCCTGATTGTTTCCCACAAACACCCATTTCCTCTATAATCTATCAGTTTAAATTCCTAGACAAGTCATCAATTACCCCCTCAATTTGAAATTGGATAATGCAACCCCTCCATCCCCAGAGGATGAACCCCATCCCTTGCATACATATCACGTTTTTCCAAAGAATAGGTCCCAGTTTCAATAAATGGGATTGCAAGTTCTTTGCAGTAAACCCGTCTAGCCAGCAATTTATACCCAATTGCCCTAGACATCCATTCATTGCCCACTGCCTTTCTAGGCAAGATGTTACATATGACTGGGATCCCTCCTTAGACCTTTAAAAAACTTCTATGGCTGACCTGTATTATCCAGCAGTCCTCTCCCCTGCCCTTCCCAATGTCATTTTCCCCGCACTAAAACGATAAAGGGCTTGTTCCCATCACCTGCCATAATATTATCCAAACCCGTGACTATTTTCACCAACACCAGCTCCTGGAAGGCACACTCTCTGTCTGACCTTTCTATCTCTGTTACAAAATGCATTGTCCATATATCTTACCTGAGAATGGCCTACTATTAAAATATTCTTACCTTGATTAGCAAGGGAATCAGTGGTACCTTCAACCTCACTAACCACTGAAGTACATTTGTCTTGTAGAACAGAGAATCTATTTCCTACCTTCACATCTTCTCTATTAACTCTTCTCATCTTCCTTCTTCCTGAACTGTGAACCACTTGCCACTTAAAGCTGCTGCCACTGTCACTGCTGGTGACCATTTCCTCCTTACCAGCTAAATCCTTCTCATACTCACTCCCAAACTCATCTATGTGAAGCTTCAGCCTCCTATTTTCCTCCTGAAGAAGTAGAATCTCCTTCAACACCTGAACCTGAGATTCTAAAACACTACAACAAGCCATGGTGCTTGGTAACAGCCCACGCTAACTCCTAAGAGCTTAGGCAGGTATGACCACACGTGACCACTGACCTCAGCATACTGAATATAATTTCAATCAATTCTGTTACCTGCGTTTTTGAGCGTTCCTTGATATTTCTCTGCCATTTTAGGGCAAAAGTATTTCATTCTAGACTGTCTAAAACTACTATCTTTTCCTGAGTGAGCAACCTCGTAGGTATCATTGGTTGGCTTCACGACTGCAAGTATCGACTAATCTGACTTCTTGGAGCAATACACCTTGATTAATTATCATATTTCATGTAGGCACAGGTGGTGTGACTCACAGGTGGTGTGACTCACAGGTGGTGTGACTCACAGGTGGTGTGACTCACAGGTGGTGTGACTCACAGGTGGTGTGACTCACAGGTGGTGTGACTCAAGGGTGATGTGACTCACGGGTGGTGTGACTCACGGGTGGTGTGACTCGCAGGTGGTGTGACTCACAGGTAGTGTGACTCGCAGGCTGGCCTCCTCTTTGCTCAGTATTTATTCACATTTGAACAAGTTGGGCCACCACTCTGGGCTCTCTCAGGAAGAATTAGTCATGGTAAATAACGTTATACTTTGACATGGGATCAATGATAACAATTTGCTTACCTGAGAAAAACGGAATAGTAGGAATTTAGTCAGTGAATATTAGTGACCATCTAGCATGCTTTCTTGAAAACCCTTAATTAGCGAATAAATCTAGAAAAGTCAAAGATAAGTTTAAATCTTGACTGGATACTGATGGATAATATATCTAATATGAGCAAGAATCGAAACTATGGCTGATACCTCTTGTTCAGTGTTAATGTAATTCCTTCTAGCTTTAGTGAACACTCTACTAGCATAGGCTATTGCTTGTTGCTTACTATTGATTCTTGTGATATGACTACGGCAAAACTACCTTGGTGGGCCTCAACACTCAAAGTGAAGCCCTTTGGTAAAATCTGGGATTTAAAGTACCTATACTGATATAAATTTTCTTGAGCGTTAACAACACTCGTGATTTCCAGTCCATTCAAACTGTACGTCATTCATATAAAGATGAGAAATTTGAGAAGCAATAACAGAAATATTAACAATGAGTTGCCTGTAAAAACTAGCTAGATGGATGAAGGAACATATTGTCTGTGCAGCCGCAGGTTGAGGAAACTCCTAGACAGTCTAGCAACGCGTTTTGACTCATCAGTCGTAATCCCGTTCTAGGTCTCTACTTACCCAGAAACTTGATTTGCTTCCTCATACACTAACAGTTAACTGTTCTGACTTAGATACCCAGACAATATGGTTAATACACCGTGTGCATAAGTCTCTGAGTTTACTTGCACTCCTGTACATTACAGGATGTACAACCTACACAAGTACGCAGACAACTTGAGTCTACCGTCAACCTTCCGTTCTATCTCCAGAGGCCGTGTGATGATCCTGGCCGTCAAGGTAGGTATCTCAAAATGTCTCTGTTTAGTGTTTAAGTGACTTAAAATGTAGGTCTACTATATTGTATAGCGTTTATGTAACTCATATTAGTTCTATATTATGTTAGATCACTAATTATGGTCCTACCATAGGTGTGGGTCACTCAGTGAATTATTATTTACAGCATATCTCGTGTGTAGGTCACACAGTGTTGCTATCAAATGCTTTGATCATCATAAAGGAAACTGAAAAAAAATACTTCTTCTCTTATGCCAAATCTAAAGGAAAAACAACATCCAGTATTGGGTCCCTGCTTAGGCGGGGTGGGACATACACAGGTGACAGCCAGGAAATGAGTGAGATACTAAAGTCCCAATATGAGTCAGTGTTCAGCGAGCCACTGCCCAGACTAAGGGTCGACAATCCAAATGAATTCTTTATAAACGAAACCCAAAATTTTGTCATCTCAAAAATCTCGGATATTATCCTAACTCCACAAGACTTTTAAGATACAATTAAGGACATGCCCATGCACTCTGCCCCAGGCCCAGACTCGTGGAACTCCGTGTTCATCAAGAATTGCAAGAAGCCCCTGTCGCATGCCTTCAGCATTTTATGGAGAGGGAGCATTGACACAGGAGTCATCCCACACACACTAAAAACAACAGACATAGCTCCACTCCACAAAGGTGGCAGTAAAGCAATTGCAAAGAACTATAGACTGATGGCACTAACATCACATATAAAAATCTATGAGAGGGTTCTAAGAAGCAAGCTCGCAAGCCACCTAGATACCCATCATTTACATAACCCAGGGCAACACGGGTCTAGAGCAGGTCACTCCTGCCTGTCCCAGCTACTGGACCACTGGATGCTGTAGAGGATAAACAAAATACAGATGTAGTATACACAGACTTTGCAAAAGCTTTCGACAAGTGTGACCATGGTGTAATAGCACACAAAATGCGTGATAAAGGAATAACAGGAAAAGTTGGTAGATGGATCTATAACTTCCTGAAAATAGAACACAAAGAGTAATAATAAACAGAGTCAAGTCCCAGGCAGCCACGGTAAAAAGCTCTGTTCCAAAAGGCACAGTACTCGCTCCCATTCTATTCCTCATCCTCATTTCTGACATAGAGATGTAAGCCATAGCTCTGTCTTCCTTTGAAGATGACACCCGGATTACCATGGCAGTGACCCCCATCGAAGACACCGCGAGACTCCATGTGGACATCAACTAAATCTTCGAATGAGCCACTCAAAACAATATGAAGTTCAACGAGGAGCAATTTCAATGTGTCAGGGTATACGACAAATTCTAACCATACAATAGAGCGGAAAAGTAATGTGAAGCACCTGGGAGTGATAATGTCAGAGGATCTCCCCTTCAGAGACCACAATAATGTATCTACCTCATCTGCTAGGAGAATGATGGAATGGATAATGAGAACCTTCAAAACTAGGGATGCTAAGCCCATGATGATTCTCTTCAAATCGCTTGTGCTCTCTAGGCTGGAATACTGCTGTACATTAGCGGCTCCCTTCAAGGCTGGCGACATTGCAGACCTGGAGAGTGTACAAAGAACTTTCACGGCACACATAAGTACGATAAAGCACCTAAATTACTGGGAACGGTTGAAGGTTCTTGATCTGTATTCCATGGAACGTAGGCGAGAGAGATATATGATAATATACACTTGGAAGGTCCTGGAGGAATTGGTACCAAACCTGCATACAAAAATCACTCCCTATGAAAGCAAAAGACTCGGCAGGAGATGCATTATTCCCCCGAACACAATAAGTGTTCGGGGCCCAAGACTGTTCAAATGCCTCCCAGCATACATGAGGGGGATTACCAATAGACCCCTGGCTGTCTTTAAGAAGGCACTGGACAGGCACCTAAAGTCAGTACCTGACCAACCGGGCTGTGGTTCGTACGTCAGCTTGCGTGCGGCCAGCAGTAACGGCCTGGTTGATCAGACCCTGATCCACCCTGAGACCTGGTCTTAGTTACCATCTTGTTTTTAGTTCGGTGACAATCTCGTGTTTAGGTCGCACAGTGTGTTCATCTATGGGGATTAGAAAATTCAGAGTGTTTGTATTTTTTGTTTAGGCTATCAGAAGTGTTTCTATTTTGTGTTTAGGTCGCATCAAGTGTTAAGTTGTGTGTGTAGGTCTTATGTCTGCTCGGAGAGTTTCAGCCTTGCGATTAGGGTGTCCAAAGTATTTATTTTTCTCTCTTGTGTTTAGGTCACTTTCAGTGCTCCTAAATTGTATTTAGGTCAACCAATGTTCATATCCTGTGTTTAGGTCAAATGTTGTGCTCCTGTCTCATGTTCTTGTGTTGTGTTTATGATCAGGTCTAACAGCTTTTTCCTGTCTTGTGTTTATGTCAATCAGTGTATTCATATCCAGTGTTTAGGAACACTCAGAATGTTCCTATCTTGTGTTTAGGTCGAGCGATAAGATAACTCAGTATTTCTGTTTTATGTTTAGGTCACTTTGTGTTCTTCCTTGGTTGTAAATAGTTCGTTGTATGTTGTTCATATAGAAGTGTTGTTCAAGGTATCTCAGCGTCCCTCCGATTCCTCGGATAAAAAACAATAATTATCACTTGTTTTATAGGTGTTTGATAAACCCGTTGGGGTTATACAGTTTCCCATGAATATATTAAAATAATAATAATAATAATAATAATAATAACAGTTACAGTAATATTATTACTAATAATTAATAATAATTACTTACTAATACCCAGGTATTGTATGGATTCAGCTGAGGAAAGGGGGTAATTAACACCTTGGATCAAAAACATTTCAATAGTGTCAAGGTACCTCGTCTTGCAGGGTATCACTAAGGAAAGGGAGAGTAGTTCCAGCATCATGGAACAGCATTTGAGGTGTTAATTAATATTTCTTGACAGAGAGATGCAGGCCTGAACATGCCTAGAGGGGTCCGAGACCTTCTTCAAGAGCTGGGATCCTTCAGAACTCATCTCCTTCCCTTCAGAGGCTACATGAGCTGGGTCTTCACCTCCTGGGGACCCTCGTGGGGTGAGTGTGTCGTGGACCATACAGGATTTTCCCAGGGAAAGACCACTGTTGACTCTGGCTCCTCTTTAAGGAAGACCACGCGCAACGTCAGTACCTACCTAGGAGAGATCTCAGACCAGTCAGGGTCTTCCCTGGACACCGTCTACTACTCTCAGTCATCATCAGAACAAGCGCTGTTCCGCTTGATTAAAGAGACGGACATTTATGCTTCACCGGTTCACCTAGAGGTGACTGTGCCACTGCTTCGTAAAGGTCAGTGATTCTTCTCACTAGTTTATTCATCAGGGAAAAATAATTTGACATGGGACTGCTTAAAAGTTTGATAAAGATTTCACTGTAATTGTGCTTGATTTGTTTTGGCCCTAATATTTCGAAAAGTAATTTCAATCAAACTTTTTATTATGGTTGAGTCCTTAACTCGCTTCACTCTATAAGTTGTGAAGACAAATGACGTGAGGCTAGGAAGTGAAAAAAAAAATACATATTTTACTGAGAGGAAGTTTATTGAGATGTTTCAGCTTTGGAACAAGTTTCTTCAGTCACTACATAGAGCTGAATAACAAGCATATTAATACAAGCGCAGTCAGGTTATTGGCCGAGTTAGTAAGGACACGGTGTGGCTAGAGTCCCAGATAAAGACATTGCCAGGCTGTGTGCACGCTGGAAATAGTAGTGGAAGAAGCAGTAGTAGTAACAGTAGTAATAGTAATAGTAGTGGGAGTAGTAGTAGTACTGAAAACAGTAGTAGTAATGAAAGTAGTAGTAAAAGAAGTAATAGCGGAAATAGTAATGGTAGTAATGTTAGTAGTAGTAGTAGAAGAAGTAGTTGTAGTATTACTGTATGTAGTCTTGTGTGTCTCCTATAAAAATGTAGATCTACCGTTCCACCCTGCGCACCTGAAGTACGTAAGTCAGTGCCAAGATGGACGTCTAACGGTGCGCACTACCTCATATAGTAGCAGCAGAATTCAGCACACTCTTCCTAATGATTATAGACTACGGCACTGAGTTCACAGCAGTACCGGGAAGAGGCCCTCAGTACCCCTTGAGAGACTAGTAAGGTAACTAGTTCCTCAGGCTTCTCATTATTATCATTCAACATCTGGCTCCCTTTAAAGTCCCTTCTCTGTAAAGTTTAAACCTAATCATATGTGACCTAAATATAAACATCCTCTCTATAAGAAGCACCCAGTTTTCCACAAGTTATTGACCTCGTCGTTACCCACTGAGAAGGTTGCATGTAGTTTTGGAAATCCCCTTCATCAGGACCACAAAAGGACTCTTCCTGCCCTACCACTTTAATGGTTTAAAGATTTTCAGTCTATTAATACGAACAACTCTCTCCCCATGGTTCTCAAACCTCATAATCTTGTATGAACCTTTCCACCGGCACTTCAGTGAGCAAAGTTGCTGTTACACGTTACGGGTATTTTATTAATCATAATTTGAGTTTTAACACAATCAGTAATTCTCCAAGTAGGAGTCATTTTGAACTGGATTTTCAAGGGATAATTTTCTCTAACACTGCTAACGAGTTAATCAGTCCAGAAGAAAAGTGACATACATATCCCAGGAACAATAAAAAAGGTGGCTTTACACTTGAAATAAGAATGGCAATGCTCAGTGCTGAGTGAACAGATGACAAGTGTCTGTCTCGTTCCCTTGGGCTTCGCTCAGTAAATATTGCTGATAGGTTCTTAATTACCTGATTTGTCTGTTCCACCATCCCATTGGTTTTTGGATGATAAGTTGTTGTGATCGCCGTCATGTTTGGAAGGATTTCTACTGAGAATGAAACCTCGGTTGTCGAACTTAATTCGTTTCAGATGTCGGTTCGAGAACCAAAATGGACGACAAAGCAATTTTTCCCACAAAGAATAATGTAAACAGAATTAATCCGTTGCAGAGCCCTAATGACAATATAATAATTTATTAAAAATGTACTAACTACTACATGAAATTTTAAAAATGAATACTAAAAGAAACCTTAACTGAAATACTGTACAGTAAATGAGAATTTAACTGCCTCTTACCTGTCAGAGGAGAACTAATGGCCTACTGGAAGCAGGAGGTGGAGGAGAGGAGGGGGGGGGGTATGTTACTGCTTGGAAGGAAAGTGACCTTCTATTAATATGTCAGGCAACTGTCCCGGTGTTGTTTCTCTTCTTTGTCTCTCTTACCACTAGCACCTTGTGCTGGCTCACTGATTCTTTGTCTCACTAAAAACCTGTCCAGTGAGGTTTATTTCATGCTCCGTTTTAACAATTCTCTAAATTGAGACATTACACTGTCATTTTACTTGTTAGAGAGACGGATGGTCACTGCTTTGTCAGAATGGTATTTTCCAGCAAACTCTTGCACTTCACGTCATTTAGTACACATTCCTTGACAAGTGCAATGGGCACATCATCTCTTCCCACTTCTTCTGATGACAGCTCCTCCACTGCAATCTGCTGCTGCTCCTTATGAAGATCTACAAGTTCTTCTGTGTTGAATTCGGTTCTGTGCTCCTTCCACCAACTCCTCCACATCATCTTCAGTCACCTCTAGGCCCAAGGTCTTCCCCAGGGACACAATATCCTCTACCGGCTCAGGCTCATCTTCAAAGATTTCAAAATCCCTGGCTGCCACAAAGTCAGGCCACAGTTTCTTCCATGCTGACTGCATGGTCCTGGAAGACACGTTACCACAGGCATTGTCTATAAGCCTCAAGCAGGTGAGTATATTGAAATGGTCCTTCCAGAACTCCCTGAGGGTTAATTTGTTTCTGAGGTGATTTCAAAGCACCTTTCAAAAAGTGCTTTGGTGTAGAGTTTCTTGAAGTTAGAAATGACCTGCTGGTCCATGGGCTGGATGACAGAAGTAGTGTTAGGAGGCAGGAACTTCACAGTTATAAAACAACTCCTCCAGTAACTCGTTTTCCAAGCTGGAACATTATCCATAAGTAAAAGGGCCCTGAGTGACAATTGTCTTTTAATGTGGTACGTTTTAACAGTGAGAGCAAAGACCTCATGAACCCACTCAATAAAAAATTGTCTTGTTACCCAAGTTTTCGTGTTGGCCCTCCACATTACAGCCAATTTTATTTTCATAACATTGTTCTTCTTAATAACTCGTGGATTTTCGGAATGATAAACAAGTAAGAGTTTCACTTTCAAGTCTCCACTTGCATTACCACATTGGCTTATGTTTTGGTATTTACTTTTCCTCTTGAGTTATGTAGGTCCTCCTGGGCATTTCTTACAGAAGAGGCCTGTCTCATCACAATTAAACACTTGTTGGGGGACAAGTTCCTCAGCCTCTGGGTACTCTTGGAATTTAGTAACATACTTTGCAACAGCCACTTTGTCAACACTAGCAGCTTCCCCATGCCTAGCAACACTATGAATGCCACTTCTTTTCTTAAAATTATCAAACCAACCCCTACTAGCCTTGAAGGACTGAGTTTCAGCAACAACAACAACACGGACTCTCAGGTAAGGACCCATGAGGGGCGAGGGGCGAATGGGGACAGGGCGAAGAATAGACAGTGAGAGGAATGTCTTGAGTCGAAGAGAGAAGAGTCAGGACTAGACCCAACTGCTAAGCCTGGAAAACACTGACGAAGACGGTATAAGGCACTGGAACTCTGCAGAAGCTGACTGCATCTTGCTTGATGGAAGAAACTCAGACTTGCTGGTGATAGGTGGCTGCAGGCGACAAGGGAGGAGCTTATCGTTGATTGGTCAGTTCATGGACTTAGGTGGTTACTTTGAGTTGTAACGTTTTTTAACAATTTCTAGCTTGCTGGTATCAGATCCATTTACAAGACGTTTAAATCGTTGGAGCGGGAGGATCATGAAACGTGTTAGCAAGTGTTGATTGCAGGGATGCTGAGAGCGTTCTTGAATGATCTCTAGGAGATTAGGAAGTGTAATTATACCAGCACCAGGATCGATAGTAAACTTAACAGTCTTGTTGGTAAGATGAGTGTACAGCTCAGATAACAGCATATCTTGACCGTAGTGAGCTGTGGTGTACAAGGTGATTCCTTTCCATGGACAATAAAAATCTGCATCATTATCAGAAAATGTATCATGTCGAGGGTCATAAGATGGTGTTGTTGGCACGGCTTTTGCCCTCTTGGCAGGCGGTGATGAAGGTGGAGGTGAATTACAGAAAATATCTACCTGGATGAGTACTAACAAACTTACTCTAAACATTGACAAAATCTACTTCATTCAGTTTGGTAACAGAGCTACAGACATCTCTCTTAACATAATGATAAACGGATCACCTATCACAAAACTCACAGAGGGAAAATTCTTAGGAATCCACCTTGATAATAGACTCAAATTTCAAACACATATACAACAAATTTCCAAAAAAAATTCCAAGACCGTAGGCATACTATCGAAGATACGGTACTATGTTCCACAGTCAGCCCTCCTGGCCCTATATCACTCACTTATTTACCCCTATCTCACCTATGGAATTTGTGCATGGGGCTCAACAACAATAAACCATCTCAGACCATTAATTACCCAACAAAAGGCTGCAGTCAGGATAACAAATTCCCACTACAGGCAGCACACTCCACCAGTATTCATAACTCTAAACCTACTCACCATACAAAACATCCATACTTATTACTGCACCTACTACATTCATAGAACACTTAATTCTGATATAAACCCTCCCCTCAAACGTCTCCTTGCCAACCTCAACAGAACACATGACCATAACACAAGGCACAGATCATTCTTTGATGTTCCTCGTGTCCATCGCACGCTATGCAAAAACTCAATGCACATGTGGAAAATTACATTTATCTGAATGTATCATTATGTACATAACAGTAAATGAACAAAGATAATTATTATTTATCAGTTAGACAAGTAGGAATTTGGGACACCTAGGTCGCAAAAATGTCCCCCTTCGATACCTACCACTGTCATATCCACAAGTTGCTCTGGACCTATTAATTACAAATAAAATGTACATACACCAGGAATTCTGGTAAATATATAAGTTTGTGGACTGTATATTAAAATTAATAAATGATTATATATATATATATATATATTTATATATTATATATATATATATTATATATATATATATATATATATATATATATATATATATATATATATATATATATATATACATATATATATATATATATATTATATATATATATATATTATATATACATATATATATATATTATATATATAATATATATATATATATATATATATATATATATATATATATATATTATATATATGTATATGTATACCTTTATATAACAGAAGGAGAATATATCTTAATCATAACACTCACCAGTTTGACTGGAGATTAATGTGTCATGTACAGGACCCCACTTTTGCCTACATTTATGAAAAATCTACTGGCCAGAATTTAAACATAAATTAGACAGCTTATCTGAGGTTCCTGGAGTTGTCCTGTCCTGTCGCCTGATATCTCAAGTTATGCAGGAATGCACATCCAAAAATTTCTCCTCCTATTTGAGAGGTGTCAACCCAAATTTAACCTCTAGAGCATGAAAAATTCTTCCCATTACTAATGTCTGTTACTCAGTTCAAAACAAAAATGGCGATTGTCCTTCTGCACAGATGCAGGCTTTCCGTTTTCTATGACATAAATATTATTAAATACAGTATGGCCATCTATTTACATATAACTACTGTATTTCTGGAAAACATATACAGTATTTTCCACACTGCGGCCGGGCGGAGTTCGTTGGTAAACGACTCAAATTACTCCTTCCTTTAGGAGACGATTCCAGCCGGTTCTGGCTTGAGTGGCTGTTCTCCTAGTAGGTCTTACTACGATTTCATTTTCCGGCATCACTTGGTCAGCGTTATCTTCCATATCAATCGTGTCACTTTCCCTCAGATTTTCATTTACGTTTGATTGAACACCTAATTCCAAGGGAATCAATTTATTAATTGTATGTAAACTTTCCTGGCCACGACACAACACTTTGACATTCCTGACAACACCTTGTGCATCTGGGTACAATGTCAATACTTTGCCCAGAGGCCACAATGTTAGATGTTGTTCAGTATCAATCAACACAATGTCACCTGGTTGAATGTTCTGTCGATTTACTGCCTCTGTCGCACCATAAAAGTGTTCACGTAGTGTAAGAAGATATTCCTTACACCACACATTAGACCAATGATCAATTACTTTATTTAACATTTTAAATTTATCACACAACACTGCCGAATCATTGTAATCTTCATCACTTTCTTCCGGATTATCTCTTTAGACAGGGGCAGCTTCCAATTTCCTTCCACATATTAGGTGAGAAGGTGTTAATACATCTGCATCAGGTGTATCACTCATGTACGAGAGAGGCCTATTATTTATGCGATTTTCCGCCTCCACTAACACTGCACGGAATTCTTCCAAATTAATTCTCTTCCGGTGTAGTACTTTACGGAGACACCTCTTCACTGTGCCTATCAGTCTTTCATACAGCCCCCCCTGGCAAGGGGCTCTAGGAGTAATAAATTTCCAGGTACACCCTCGCTGGGTTAACAGAGATTGAACATCGTTACTATTATTTAATTCTATCAAGTGTTGAGCACCTGCTACAAAATTTGTGGCATTATCCGAAATCATCAACCTCGGACAGGTTCTCCTAGCTGCAAATTTTCGAAACAGCTGTATTTAAAAATGTTCTGCAGACAAGTCCTGTGCCACTTCTAAATGAACTGCCCTAGTAGCAGTACAGGTGAACAAACAAACATACACTTTCAGTGGAACACCATCTGACGTACCTGTTAAAATTATTGGACCACTATAGTCTACACCTGTTACATCAAATGGTTTCACTAATTGTACATGCTCCTTTGACAATGGTGGAGGACCTGGGTACATATAGGATCTGGCATCCACACGGCGACATATTACACAAGATTTAATCACCCTTTTTACACTTTGCCGTCCTTGTGGAATCCAGAAAGTTTCCCTAATACAATTTAAGGTATCTTGTACCCCACCATGCATTACATTTTTATGGGCATTTAGAACAATCAAATTTGTTAGATGATG